AAATCTCTCCCCATATCTTCACATGTCGACCAGAGGCCCTCTGTCCGGCCTGAGGTTGGAGCTTGCAGGATGCAGGCGAAGGACGTCCCTCGGTGTCTGAGGGTGACGCTGTCTGGCCATATCTCCGCATATCTCCCCATATCTCCCCATCTCTCCCCATCTCTCCCCATGTTTGAGTGGAGAAGCGTACCTGATCTCACCCTACCTCGCCATGCCATGCCTCGCCATGCCTCGCCAGATCTCGCCCTATCTCGCCCCATCTCGCCCGATCTCGCCCGATCTCGCCCGATCCCCCCTCTATCTCGCCCTATCTCGCCCGACCTTTAGGCGCTGACGGCACGTGTGAAGGAGCTCGAGGCTACCCTCGTCCGGCTGCGGCGTACACATTCCGCCCTCGAGGAGCGGCGCCGTCTAGAGGCGGAAGGGTACGGCCGCGAGCTCGCCGAGCTGCGGAAGGCCTTCTCCCGGCTCGAGCTGCGCGTCTATGCGGGCCGCAACCCCGACGCAGAGCCGCCGCCGCCGCAGCAGCGCGCGGCGTCCGCCAGGGCGCCCGCCGGCGGCAAGGCGGGCCCGACGCGCCGCCAACTGACGCCCGAGCTGGCCGCGATGCGCGAGCGGATGGCGGCGCTGGAGCGCGCAATCATGTGAGTCCTCATGGGGCGCGCGGCGGCCCTTGTCTCCGGGCCAGCGCCGGCCGTGAGTGTCAGGTGTCACACTGTTATACAGTGACTCTTTGTGACACTGACAGAGTGACAGTGACACTGGAGGACCGGCCACCCCGGGCCGCGCCGAGGGCTGCGTGCGCTGCGGATGTTTTTGCACGCGTGTCTCTTCTATCAACAATACACTCGCCTTGCTCCCACAGTGCTAATGTGCTATCGCGATAGAGTGCCACAACGCACAAGAGCGAAGAGGTGTCTCGGGCTCGTTTGCTCTCGGCCTCTCGCCCGCACGCTCTCGTCGCGCCTCCCCGCGGCACGATGCGCAGGAGCCCGGCATACACCTACGCCTGGGGTCCGTTGGCGGCTGGCCCGTCGCCGTGCCGAAGACAACCTTCCAGGCCCCGTCCTTCTTCTCGAGCGTCGCGCTGTTCTAAGACGGCGAGGTTGTCGTTCGCGGCTCTCTTAGTGTAAGTCGCTACCGCTCCAATGCCGCCGGCAAAGATGCGGATGGAATCAATCGAGACGAGCTTGCCGAACTCGGGGACACTGTCATCCGAACCGTCATCCGACTTCACCTGGCAACCCTGTCTGCACGTCTCGCGCGCGCGTGAACAGGTCTAGGGTACGATACTTGACCCCCCCCCCTCCTTGGCGCCTCGTCTTTTCGTGCCAAACGAGCACATGTCTGATAGCTAGAGCAGCAGCGTCAGGGTCGCAGGGTCGGATCGTGTCAAGCCTCTCGCCCGGCCGGCCGTGTGCAGACGTCGGCCTGGGTTGCGACGACTTCTGCGCGGGGAACACGAGGGACTGGGCGAGCAAGTGCGGCTGGTCCGGATGCTCAAGCTGCGGCAAGTGCTTGATACCGCCTCCGCAGCCATCCCCGCCGCCACCGGCGATCGCCTCTCCTTCTGCTGGCACGTTTCGCACGCCATCTGGCTCGTGCGCGACGCTCGCCTACGAAGACAACAGCTTTTGCGCCGACCAGCCATCCAGCTTTGCTGGGCAGAAGCCGCTCTCCCAGTGCCAGTCCCAGTGCCGGGACGACAAGGAGTGCGCGTTCGTGTCGAGTTGGGGCTCAGGCTGGTGCCGGCTCTCGGCGAGCTGCGACACAAGGTTCAAGTCGACCACCGGGTCGGTGCGCGTCTACTCTTGCGGCTCGGCCGGGCCGGCGCCATCTGTTCTGGCCTCCCCGCCGCCTCCGCCGCCGATCCCCGACACCGCCGATACATGCAAGCCGCACTGCGCCGGGAAGACGCATGCGTGGGCGGGCACCGGGGGCAAGTGCACCTGGAACGGCTGCAGCGGATGCACGCAGTGCTCAGACGAGCCGCCGCCGTCGACAACGTGCAAGCCGCACTGCGCCGGGAAGACGCAAGCGTGGGCGGGCGCCGGGGGCAAGTGCACCTGGAACGGCTGCAAGGGATGTGCGGAGTGCCCGCCATGACCCCCGCCACCGCCGCGCTGAAATCTTTCTTTTGGGGGGAGGCGGCGCGGGCGGCGGGCGCACACGCGGTGGCGCCCCCGCGAGAGAAACTCGTCAGTAAAACTCTCGGGCGGCCCGGCTGTCTGAGGCTGGCACGCAGTGGCAAAAGCCCGCGGCTCGTCGCCAAGGAGTTACGAAGTTACGACCAGAAAGAAATCAGCCCTCTTTTAGAGTGAGGGCTGACAGCGCG